CTAAGTTAGGACCTTACTCGTACGAAGAACGCAGAAGCAGGGGTATAAAGGGAAGAGTGTCGTACAACAACTTAACACTTCTTATCTTTCTTCTTCTGTACTATAGGCTAATGCAAACTCGTTCGAAGGCCTCTTCGCCCTTAACAATCTAGACGAAGTGAAGTTGAAGAGTTTGAATACTGGAAGAAGCGTGGTAATCTATTTAATAGGGCTTTTCATAGCGCAGCAAGTGAAACTGGAGTTACTACAGCAAAATTTAGTTAGTTACTTTGTAAGTGTAAAGACAGCTAACCCCAACCGTACTTATACACTATAAAATTTCCAATCGCCCTCTTAATAGAAAAAGGAAAACTATTTAGTTACTAGATACACTAGGCAATGACGCTGCATGCGAGAAAATCGGATGCTCTCATCGCAGCGATATACCCGTGCAATGGCGGATAATGCTGAAGCCGCCGAATCTCTATCCTTGACGTTGGGGTTTTTCTCTAAACGAGGCAAAATGTTCTTTCCTCATATTCCTCCGAACCGTCGAAAATTTCTCCATGCATAATATTATCGACGTAAGCCTGCCCCATGAACAGATATTTGTCTCCTTTCGGCCGTAAGATATAAGGTGTGTTGCCCCCATATAGCACTACTACAATATCGCTGGGTCGCATACATTGTGGACCGAGACCAAAGGTCATATTATCTGTCCAGAATACGCGTCTTTGCCTGCAAATGCTATAAACAGTGCGTTGGAATTTGGCCGAATCTTCATCGTGAGCAAAGTTGCCCTCTGTCCCGGTAACTTGAAACTCTTTCAATCTGCGCATGAAACGAGGATAAGCCCGATAGTAGGACTCTTGAGTGGCAGGGTCCAAGTTTTCAATGTAATCTTGATTTTTATCCCAGCAACCCGCAGTCAAAGTCCGAGTCCACGCCCTGTGTACAGCTTCTGAGCTTGATTCCACAAAGAATTTGTTACAGATATCAAGTAGAGGGTCTGAGTCGTCGGACTCAGAATCGGTCTCGATAATCATATCATCGTCCTCTGGGCTCGCGGGATTTTCATCGTTGTACATCGGGTCCTTCAGGTTGTAATAGTCCATGATTCCTTCAACGCTGCATACTCTGTTGTAGTACACACCTTTGAGGCAGAGTTCCTCGGGTCGAGAGTCATGACCAGCCATCATCACTGTTGCATTATCTCCGTAAGGCTTCCAACGACAATCATTTTCAGAAAATCCCAGTACATCTGCCACTGCCGAATCATCCCACCTTGGCGCCCAAGATCTGCATCGACACTTCAAGTTCTCTTCATTATCTGGATCATACTTGGGAGGGTGTGTGATGTAGCCGAACGTGCTTAGCTTTGAGTGAACTCGAATAACGGCCAAAACTGTGTCAGCGTAAACCTCACCGACACTCTTATGATAATCTAGGGCTAGAGCATCTGTTTCAGACTGGTTTTCAACCAGATTTAGAAGTCCATACACTTTGTCTCTAGGGTCGGTCGACTCGAATTCTCGGAAGGCCCGTAAAGCCTCGAGCAGCGGATATCGGTCTTTATCGCGCAAGATATCGGGGTGTGAGACACTCTGCCCAACGGCAGATGGTACCTCAAAGTCAGTCTCTTGGTTGCTCTTGTCGAATACCCAGGAGGCGGCTAAACTCAGATATTGCCAGTCAATCCCAAAATCCCCCCAGAGGACAAAGGCAGCTTGCGCCAGGCGGATTTCTTGGACACACCAGACTCTAGAGAACCAAGGTCGTTCGTATAGCTCCTGCAGGCTTTTCCAAGCACTTGGAGGGAAAGCGTCTTTTGGCAAATCTAGCGTTTCGTATCTTTCCTCGTGATTTAGGGGTAAGCCACGCTCTTTGTCGTATCGGAGGCAAGCTTTAGCGACTTCTATACTGTATTCAAAAGCCTCAATGATAAATTTTTCATCTCCCTGTCCTAGCCAGACGACAACTCTCTTTGCCGAGGAATAGATGCTCCCCATCAGGGGCACCTGGTGACTCTTCTCTGCTTTGTCACTCTGGTTGATACAAAGCGCATCCGCCCAGATTATCTGTGTAACCTCGGGAGAGCGGAGTCTGATCAGTGCGTTTAAGAGCTCTATTCCGATGGCAATAGGTCGTCCGTTGCATCTTATCTCAGCAGATAGATTGGATTTACCCCATACGTAGGATAGTGCTTCGTAAGGAGGTGCGTAATCGATATTGAAAGGAAGGCAACAACATTCCAGTTGCTGATCCTGATCTAGAGCGGGGCGGATGAAAAGCAGCCTGAAAATGCGGCCATTTAGGATTCTTTCCGTATAGATTGAATAATTTGACATAGGTGATATGTATGTTTAAAACAATGGAATCAAGATGCGGTGGTGGAATGGAGAACCTCGACCTTGAGTGACACTTCTGAGGGCTGCTAAAGTATAGATAGTCGATCCAATGTGGCCCGCGACGGTTGCCTAACACTGCATTGCAAAATGTGATACATGGCGCTTTTGAAACAACATTTCTGTCAACCCAGCCAATCAATGCGACCGCATAAGCGCTAGGATCGAGAAATGCGGCACGGCAACAGCACCAACGGTGCTTGATTGTGAGAGATTTCCACATTCTGCTGTATGTAATTTCACAAGTTAGAGACCCATGGGGGTACATAGGTCGGGAAGAGCCTTGAGCTTGTATCATCAATCCCTGACAGGATTAAGGTCGAAATCGACCTTAATCCCCAATTTCTTGGCGAGTTTACAGACCTTAATCCTACAGATTTACATAGGCACTAGGAGTAAGGTTAGAACAGCGCCTAAAATAAATATATCTTCTATTATAGATGCAGAAAACTCGTACGAATTTAATAAACTACTTCTTATAATAATATGATAACTGTAGCGCGAGATATTCGCTAAAATATAATGAAAAGTTAGTGTTCGCTAATATAGCTCATGCACCGGATTAGGGTAGGTGTTACAAGTAACAAGAAGAATTCTCTCCTTGACAAGGGACGAGATGGCTGAAGGCCTAGGGACGTCCACGTCAGAAGGTAATGATCATCGCGGGGCTAGGTCACGTGATGTGCCATCCCGCCAAGAGCAACCATCCGAGGGATGGCAGGACGCC